ACTCGCAATTGCTGACCAGCCTTCTTCCCTTCTCTTCTCTACAGCTGGGCACACAGGACTATCTCTTTATGGAAGGAGACATTATGGGAATGTCCACCACCACCCTCTCCTGCCATCTTCCTGGAAACGTGGCCTGCTACTACCAGAGCTCCTGCCTACCAAGACTGGACAAGAGCAGCCTTGATGGGGTCTATTTTAACCCTAGACTCTCAACTAACTGAGAGAGGGCTGGAGGACGCCCCTAAACTGTCACTATTTATTGTGGGCCCTGGAGGCTCTCTGCACTCGAGGAAGGCCAGCGAGCTAGCTCAGGACCCTTCCCCTCAGGAGCTGTGCCCTCCTCTCAAAGCCAGAAGTTGGCAAGGGACCTGCCTGCCTGTATGGCACATGAGAGACCAGGGCACACAAGAAGGAGCAGAAGAGCCTGTGCCCAGAAGACCCACTGGTGCCAAGGAATCTAACAAGGACAGGCAGGGACCTGTTTCCCAAGAGGGAAGCCTGAGATTCACAGGGCGGGACAGCATCTGCCTGATTTCCCGTAAAGGCATAAAGGCATGCAGCCTAAGGGACGGGAAGAGGAGGCCTTTGGCGGCTTGTGCTGACAGCTTAAAGGGGTCTACACCCTCAACTTGCCCAAGTGCCCTCAGCTGATAGCCAGGAAGGAGGGGAGACCAGCCCTGCCTCAGGACCTGTCTGACCTGGCTCATGATGCCAAGAGGAGGACCAAGCTCTAGCCTCGTCTCCTCCTACCCACAGCCCCTGCCAGAGTTCTTTTGCCCAGCAGAGGCACCCCTCATGAAGGAAGCCATTGCACTGTGAATATTGAACCTGCCTGCTGAACAGCCTGTCCCATCCATCCCCATGAGTGACCATCCGTCCGAATGTTCTCCCACCCCCTTCATCCTCTCCTCAGCTTCCTGCACTGAGCTGGCCTCACTATCGACTGAGGGAGCACCGAAGCCCCAACCTTCCCCTGCCTAGGCCTTTGATTGCCCAGGGTGGAGCCGTGGGAGAACTGCCTGGGCTACCAGCCAGAGCTGGTCTTTGGGCTGTGTTCCTTGCCCAGGTTTCTGCATCTTGCACTTTGACATTCCCAGGAGGGAAGTGACTAGCGGAAGGGAGAAAGGAAGGGGAGGCAGAGGCAGAAGGGCCACAGGCAGAGCTCTGAATGGAAATGGGTCTTGAAAATATGCGTGTGCCCAAGGTGAAAGCTGATGTCCATACTCTAACCAGTCAGCCAGCCTCCGTCCTCACTGCTTCCAGCCTGGGGCTGGGCAGGGTGTCCTGTCATGAGCTCCTGGGACTGAGCTCCTTGCTCCAGCCCCACCTCTGCTGGCCTTTTTTCTCCAGACCTGACCCAGGTAGGCAGGGACACCCTCCCAGTCTCACCCACCCCACCCTGCCGTCTCTAGCCAAGCAAGGCAGCTCCAGAGAGAAATCAGGAACCGGGCTGTCTACTTCCAGCTCTGTTGTGTGGCCCTCTTCCCGGGGCCAGGCCTTGTCGGTGGCGCTGAGGCCTGGCCACGGGTGGCAGGGCTCTCACTCGCCCTTGGTCTCTTTATGCTGCTGTGTCCCCCTTTCCTGCCCTCCTTGGCTACTGGGTCCGTAACCTTTCAGGCAAGGCGGGGAGGGGGGGTCCGTAGGCCCCACCACCCTGTCCTGAGACAGCAGAGGGAAGGAAGGACACTGGAGACTTTCTTGTGGGGCTTACTTAGCCTTCTAGTTACAGACTATTTCCATGCTAGAAAATACATATTTTAAAATAGAAGGAAAAACACAGAAAAAAAAAAAAGGCATTCTCCTACCCCCTCTACCTTAAACATGTATTATTAAAAACAGAAGAGCAAATCCAACCCATTGCAAGAAGCTCTTTGTGGGCACCTGGCTGCATCAGACAGGAGGAGCTCTGAACCCACCTTTGGCGCCTCCCCCGCCGCACAGGAACCCCTTCTTTCCTCTAAGAAAGCCCGGAGAGAACATCGGCTCACAGACTGTGAGACTGCATTTTTTTATACTTGGAAGTGAATTATTTTATATAAGGTCATTTAAATATCTATTTAAAAAATAGGAAGCTGCTTTTATATTTAATAATAAAAGAAGTGCACAAGCTGCCACGTGTGAGTCATGGGAAAAGTTGCTTCTGGGGTGGGGGTGGCAACAGTAGCGGGGAGCGTAGCAACTGCTGGGTGAACCTCCACTCTGAGATTTTTCCAGGGTGCATGGAGAAGGGCTTCTCCGGATTTCAGTCTTGTTACTAAAACCCTCTGTATTATTGGTGTCCAGAGGCGTTCATCTGCATATCTGTTTAATAGGAAAAGGGCAGAAAGCAGCCAAACCTCAGGCCTGGCTACTACCCCCCACCCTGCCGCCTCAAGCCCAGCCCAGCCTGGGAAAATGACTGGTTGGGCTCTTTCCAAGGGCCCAAGGGGTCTGCAAGGAGGAATCTCCTGGACCACTGATCCTGCTGTCCAGGGGAGAGAATTGGCAGGTCCAGTGGGGTGCTGAGGTATGTAGATGCTGTAGGCTGGAACGTGGACAAGCCTAGCACGGAGGGAACCTGCAGTTTATGTGCAAAGCCTCAGACCTGTTCCTACTAGAAGTGGAGGGAAACCCAAAGATGTGGACTTCCACAGAGAGGTCTGCAGGATAGACCAGAGCAAGCGAAGGTCCCGGTGGGCACAAACAGCCACCCGCTTGGCAAAACCGAGGCAACAGGGCCTTCCTGTCGCTGGCAGTGTAAGAAAGTTTTAGAAGAGAGGTGCTCAACCCTACCTTAATGCAGGCAGAATCATCTGTTGTTTCCAAAATCCTGATATTCAAGCCCTGCCCTATATCAACACAACCAGAATCTCAGGGTGAGGCTCAGGAACCGCGTGCCAGAATTGTTAAAACACCTCTGATTTAAGTGTGGCCTGCTGGGCACATACTGGGTCATCAGGGCCTGGCTGTTCACCCAGTTAGGTGGCAGAGCTGGGGTTCTACTGGTGGAGATGAGTAGTCTTATGTTGTGTAACTAAAGATTTATGGCTGGAGGGCGGGACCAAGTAGAATGCTAGAGGGTAAGATGTCCTTCATTGTGGCTATTACTGTTTCACAGGCAGGGTCAGGAACTCTGGCTTAGAGATCTGCCTAGCCGGGCCCAGCCAAACCTCTAAACCTCTATCCGGCCAGAGACAGGAAAGTGAATCAGAAGCAACCAGGAAGAAACCTGAGGTTAACCTCTTGCAGACTGTGGGCCTCAGCAAGGGGGTAGAGGGGACAATGGTGGGTGTCCCATGACCCCTTATACAGGTTCTGAAGTCAGTGGCGGTGGGCAGTGACTGTGCAGGTCTGGAGGAAAGTCCCTATTTCCAGAGGGTGGGCCCTGTACCAGTGTAGCACATTTGTTCCTTGGTTTTCCTTTTCAGTTTTTTGGGGGTTTCGGTGACCAGACTCTGCTGTCCTGGATGCTGGAACTGCTGAGGGAGCAGAGTAGCTCATGCCAGCTACTGAACATAGAGTGGCTGGCTCCCCCCACCCCCGGATGCCACAGAGCACACACAATCCCACAGGCTGACCCCCACGGCTCTGTCTGGAACTCAGACTCTCGGCTCCATGACTGGAAGTCAGAAGGGGTTATGGATGACACCACTGCAGGACACTAAGTTCCGAGGAGACAGTGCTGTAAGGCAAGAGTGGGCTCAGTGCCTTCTCGATGAAGAAACAACACAGACAAAGGACCGTACGTACAAAGCAAGGGCAAAATGTCACAATGCAAAGTTGCCAAGGGGAGTGAGTGCAAGAAGAAACCCCCATGCTTTGTCACCAACGTGGGAGCCATCTCCTCCAAAGACAGGAAAAGTCTGAAGACACAGCAAAGGCCACTGGGAAAGAGACGTGAAAACTGGATCTGGGCATGGGACACATGCCTGTAATCCCAGCGCTGGGGAGACCCAGTCAGGAGGAGCACAAATTCAAGGCCAGCCTAGGCCATATTAGTGAGTTCAAAACATTGAAGAGAGAGGGGAGAAGGGAAATAGGAAAGAGAGGGAGAGAGAGAGAGAAGGGGAGAGAGAGAGGAGGGGAGAGAGAGGGGGGAGGGGGGATAAGAAGAAGGGAGAGAGGGACAGAGGGGAGAGATGGGGGACCTATGTCCCCCTACATGGGAAGGCTAAGGTTGTAAGTCAGTGGTAAAACACCTGCCTAGCATGCACAAGGCCCTGGGTTTGGTCTCCAGTATTGCAAAAAGAAAAGGTTTAAGGATCCCAATATATTCAAGGAGCTTCCTCCTTCAGCCTTCTTTTCTGTTCTGAGTCCAATTCTGAAATCAACGAACATCCCAGTCCATCTATTGGTGCTGCTGCGCAAAGAGCTGGAGAGCTGTGGAAGAACTCTGCTCTGATGACAAGAAGCCTCCTGAACAGAAGGCTGCTGAGCCGAAGGAAAAACCACAGCACAGAATGCTGTAGACTAAAACCTGATGCTGCAGAAAAGAGCATCCTCAAGCATCCTTGCTGGAAATAGTAAGAAGAGGGAAGTGGGGTGAGATGAAGGGGCTGGTGATGAACAAGTTGCTTCTCTCAGTCTTTCTTGCGTGCAAGGCATTGAATCCATCTATACACAACTTATTCCTTTTAAGGGAAAATTTAAATATAAAGAAAGCCAAGATGTGGGTTAGTGAGACGGTTCAGTGGGTAAAGGCATCCTCTGCTAAAGCTGACAGTCTGCATTGGATCCCTGGGAACCAACTCCCGCATGTTGTCCTCAGACCCCCCCCCACACACACACACACCACCTCTCTCTCTCTCTCTCTCTCTCTCACACACACACACACACACACACACACACACACACACACACACACACTGAAATTTTAAGTTTCTAAAAGAAGAGCTTTTAAAAGGCATGTATTTTTTAAAAGTCACTCCAGGAGACAGAGATTAATGTAGCAACCATACAGCTAAGTCTCTAGTTATCAAATATAAATGAGGCAGGAAGATATGGGTGCTAGGACTACTTACAATAAGGACCCTAAGCCAGGCTCTCAGGAAGATGAAGATGGAGACGGCTGTAGACAAAGGTTACATGCAGTGAGGAAGTGGTTTATTTTTCCTCCTTTTCCAAGGCTGCCAACAAGATGAACCCGAAAAGTACTTAGTAATTACCAGGTATGTGTGGCACACTCTATAAAAACACAATCTCGTTCTCTACTACAGTCCTGTAGCCAAATGCTAATATCCTCTTTGACAAATATAGAAACAAGGCTCAAGGAACCTTGATAACTCAGCTAACTCACCGCCGTGGTTCACTGGCAAAGCCAACACTCTTGTCACAACACTACACCCAAGTAGCCATTTCACAGGTGCTTCTTGTGCACATGGACAGCTTGGAACAGCTTGGGGGTGAGAGGGTCCCCAGGTCCTTAGCCTTGTCTTTCTGTTCCCCTCGGAAGAACTGTCTGGAACTGGCAGGAGGAGCCTAGGGCAGAACCCTTCTGTCTTCGCCTTACTGCCAGCCCTAACTCAGCAGGAAAGGAAGAGGAGCCTCCTAGGCGGTGTGCCACTTCCTGGGAGAGCTCCCCTTGACCATCAGTCCCTCCTCCTGGCTTCCTCTGCAGCTCCTTACCCGGCACAGGCACCTCTCACACCCCTAGCTTGCCCTGTCCCAGGGAACATCCGGCACTGGTCACTCCAGCTTGCAGCAGGTTTGCCATCATCCTTGTTTTATCTGATTGCGGCCTTCTTGTATTAAGAGGCTAGAAATTGTTTTAATTTGCCCAGCCAGGTCTCCAGAGAAGGTTGCCCAGGCCTGGACTAGGATCCTGCACTTGACATCTGTAGCTCAGCATGCTCTAGCGAGTCTGAGGAAATAAGCCCAAAGCTGTAGATTGTAGGACCTTGGGGTAGGAGCAGAGCTTATGGTATTTGGGGACCCTTAAAAGGCATCATTATCTCATTATCAAAATGTACTGGGGCCTCAAACCATTGGCTTTTCTGAGGTGGGTTCCACATCGACATGCAGGAAGACCTCTCTGAAGAACTTTGGGCTTGAAGGCCCTTAGCTCAAGTCCTGTGTTGTGCTTAGAGTATTTTATACAGCAGCAACAACAACAAACTTTGATTTCCTCCATCCTATCAAGTGTCTGGTCTGGGAGCTGGTGAGATGGCTTAGTGGGTAAATGTACCTGTTCCCGAAGACTCTTCCTTCCATTCCTGGACACCCACATGGTGGGATGAGAGAACCAACTCACAGAAGTTCTTCTGTGACCTCTGTATTAGCACTTCAGCAAATGAATACCTGTATGCACACATATAATATATGAGAGAGAGAGAAGTCTAGTTTTCAACAACAAAAAAGAGCCAAGACATGTAAAAATGTAACAGAGTATGCCTACACACAGAAGCAAAAGCAAACGGTTGAAACTGGCCCCAAGGAAGTCTGGGCATGGCCTTACTAAACAAAACTTTAAATCAGCACTTCAAAGGTGTTCAAAGACTAAAGGAAAACATGTCTAAATGACTAAAGGAAAACACGAGTATTGTAAATATAAAATACATTATACAATTCTTATTTAACTTAAAAAGAAAATTTCCAGGCTCTGTACCACCACCAAAAAGCCGTGGGAGGTAGGGACATGGAAGGGTGGGGCAGAGCTACATGGGAGCAAAGTTTTTATATGCTAGCAAAATGCAATGGGTATGAATTTGAGCTGAACTGGATTGTTGTAAAGTGCTAATAGTAACTGCCAGACAATCAGCTTGAGCTCCTTTCTGGATCTATGGACTTCCTGAGACCTAACAGTAACCACTAGGTAAAACAACTCATAAATATAAAATGAATGAAATGACAAAGAAACCCAAGGTGTAGCAGAGTAGTTTTTCAGTGCAAACCTTACTCTCTAGCACCCATTAAAGCTGAGGGGCCACCCAGGTGTGGTGGTGCACACTTTAAATCCCAGCACTTGTGAGGCCGAGGCAGGTGAAGCTCTGAGTTCCAGGACAGCTAGGGACAGGCGGGGCTCAACCAGTAGGGAGAAGAAGGTGAGGTACATATCTTTGTCCGTCCCCCCCCCCTCCATGCATACCCAGGTTCCTCCAGGTTCCCTAGTACTTTTGTAGATAGCATCATGTCTCCTCCTCACAGCAACCGTGTGGGCTTTATAACCGTGTGAGGGCACTGGGCAGCAGGGAGAGAGCTTAGTGGGTAAGAGTGCTCACTGCGCAGGCATGGGCACCTGGGATTGGATCCCCAGCACACATGTGAAAAGCCTGGCATGTCTGGCCTTTGGCCTGAAACTGTGGGAAGCTGGGCTTGCTGACCAGACAGTCTAGCTAAAACAGTCAAGTCCAGTTTCAGGGAGAGACCCTGGATTAAGGGAATTAAGACAAGAATGACAGAGAAGGACATTCAATACCCTCCTCTGGTTACTCTACACACATGCACACTAACACACACACACACACACACACACACACACACACACACACACACACCAGAAAAGAAAATGAGAAGTGAATGAAGACTCTGAGGTTCAGAGGTTAAGCAGCCCAGGGACATTAGTAACTGTAAGAGCTGAGGCTAAGATGAGTTCTATCTTATTCAGGGATCTTTCCCACAGAGCATATCAGCACCTGGCCCCAGAGATGCTGACTTCCTTTTGGTTTCATCCTTTTTCTAACTTTCAATTATAGAAAACATCAAACCTACAGCAAAGTAAAGAGAGAGAAAAAATAAACCTTCGTGGACCTATGATTTGTCCTCAGTGTGTGGCCAGTCATGATGGAGCCTTTCCCACAAACAAGCTCCTGTGTCTCACCAATTATATTTTGAATCAGACCCTGAATACATCCACTCAAATGAAACTTTTGGTATTTGTCTTGAAAAGATATTCATCTAGAAAAGCATACCCAACAACGCTCTTATCACTTTTAAAGAGATTAACAATGCATTAATGTAATAACCAAATTTCTAAGTATTTCAATTTCTTGAAAACATTTTTTAAAGAATTTAAGTGTGAACCCAAATACTATTCATATCCACAAACTGGCTGGAGTCTTTCAAACTTCTTTTCATTCACAAGTTTTATGCATTCCTTTGTCCCTGATAGTGTATTTGCTAAACAAAGTAAAACAAAAAATATATTCTATTTGTTTTGTAGAGTTTCCCAAAGTCTGCAGCTCCCTGATTTCACTAACATGCCTGTCTGCTACCTGACTTTCCTATTATACTAATTGGAAGTTAGATTTAAGACTCAAGCATATTCATATTCATTTTTCACACCAGAACATTTCATAGATGCTGTTTCTCCTCTAGTCTGGGATATATAAGGACTGGTCTCCCCCCTACACACAATGTTTAAATCTTTCTAACTAGGAAATAGCTTAAATGTCTGATGCAGGAAGAATTGTTATAGAAGGCTGGTTTATCATTACATAGGAATTTTATGCATCATTACATAGGAATTTTATGCAGTCATTACTGATCAGGGTTTTCAAAGAATATTTGAGTGACATGAGGGACAAAATGCTTACAATGTTCAGAAAAGAGTGGGAATCAACAATGCATAAGGGGCTGGTGAGAAGGCTCAGTTGTTAAAGGCACTTGCTGCAGCTGGTAACATGAGTTTGATCCCAGGAACCCATGTAAAAATGGAAGGAGAGAGCAAACTCCACAAACTTGCCTGGGACTTCCACATGTATAACTAACACACACACACACACACACACACACACACACACACAACTAATAAAAATACATAAGTGTACTGCATATTTACACACAGAAGTTGGGCATGATGGTTCACACCTATAATCCCACCACTTGGGGAATGAAGGTAAGAGGATTTACATTTGTTCAAAAATCTATCCTGGTGAGTTCCAGGTCAAGCAGGACCACAGAGTGAGACCCTGTCTTAGTTTTAAAAAATGCACATAGAAAAAAGATTAGAAGAAACTACAAAATTTCAAGAAAAAAAAAGTGTGTTAGTAGAGACAGTTACCAAGATTTAAAATTATGGGTGTTTTTTTTTTATGTATTCTTCCTTGTTTTCCAACTTATAATAATATATGTATGGTCAGGCGGCAGTGGCGCACGCCTTTAATCCCAGCACTTGGGAGGCAGAGGCAGGCGGATCTTTGTGAGTTTGAGGCCAGCCTGGTCTACAGAGTGAGATCCAGGAAAGGCGCAAAGCTACACAGAGAAACACTGTCTCGAAAAACCTAATAATAATAATAATAATAATAATAATAATAATAATAATAATAATAATACATTTATATTACTTTCACAATCAATAAAGATATCTTGTAAATCTTCTATTTCTGTGAGCAAAGTTGTGAGTTCTCTGGAACTCTACAGGACCACAGAATGAAACCTTGATGTGAGATTTAAGCACACTAAGCAGTGTGACAGTATAACAAATTGCTACTTTCTGGACGGTTGCTGGTTGCTCGATTCCTCTGAATGGTCATTTTGTTCACAGAAAAGTGCTGGTCACAAGGGCCTAGCAGGAGTGGGGCAACTCGTCAGAAAAACCAGAAGAGGACTAGGGAGATGTCTCGGGGGCTAAAGTATTTACCTCACAAGTGTGAGGACTGGAGTTCAAATCACTAGAACCCACATAAATGCTAGATCAGTGTGGACACCCACCTGAGATCCCACAGGAGGCTGCGAAATCATACTAGCCATATGGTCAAACTCTGGGTTCAACTGAGAAATCCTTCTTCAATGAATAAGGTAGAAAGCAATTGGGAAAGATTCTCAACGTCAACCTGGGGCCTCCACATACATGCATGCACACCTTCATGCTCAAATATGCACAGACACAAACACACAGAGAGAGAGAGAGAGAGAGAGAGAGAGAGAGAGAGAGAGAGAGAGAGAGAGAGAGAGAGGAGAAAAACATAAAATAAGTAAGAAAGGACAAAAAGCAGACCCAATGGCACAAGAGTATGGCCTAAGGACTTGACTCTTCAGAAAGCTCAGTCTTGCTGCCCCAGATTCTCCTTCAAAAACCTATCAAGAGGCATCACACACAGTCACTGAGACATCAGCCTTCCAGCAGCAAGGACTCGGGGGCAATTAGGAACTGCTCCACCAGAACAGCAGCCTACCACAGGAGCATGCTGAAGGGCCCTCTACCACAGCAATTCTCAACTTGTGGATCATGACCCCTTTGGGGGTCAAACAACCCTTCCACAGGGGTCACCTAAGACCATCGGAAAACACAGATGCTTACATCACATTCATAACAGTAGCAAACTTACAGTTCTGAAGTAGCAATGAAAGTAGTGTTATGGTCGGGGGTCAGCACAACACAAGGAACTGTATTAAAGGGTCTCAGCCTTAGGAAGGTGGAGAACCACTCTCTATCAGGACAGCAGGCTCAGCCTTCTGGTTTGACCTGGACAGGGGAAGCCTGAGATTTCCTTTCTGATTTCAACCTTTATCTCCTTCCTGGTCTAGGTTAACCTAGATCTATACCCTATATACAGGGTGAACCAATTATTGATCAAGGAAAGATTCAGTTTTAATGTCGTAAATAATCTTTCCTGGGACCACTTTCCTCCAAATCCGAGAATCCTTGGAACTATACTCAGGAACGAGACTTTTGTTTCCCTACTCAAAAGCATCTTCAAACATATGTCACCACACCACTCCAGAGCAGCAACAAAGTCTCATTCACAAATTCCATTCAAGCAACTCAGCCTGTAAGGGAGCCTCAGATGCCTCCGGACTACCCTTCTATCAGCCAGTTTCCACCTTGGAAGGTTCTTTAAAGGGATGCTTTATTTTAAAATATTATGGTTTTGTCTCTAAAGTTAACATTAGGTGATTACAGGTATATTAATAGGAACATAAAAAATATCAATTAAAACATTAATCTTTTTCTTTCTTTTGTTCAGTCCTGAGGTTCACACCTGGGGCCTTGTATGTGTTATGCAAGCCTTCTTTTACTATTCCTAGCCTAGTAGAAGAAAATCTTAACTCCATCATTCAGAAGGAATTAATGTCAACTGTTGTCTTTCCTTACTGTATTAGTATGTTAGTGTTTTTACATAGTTAATACCATAATGTATGTACAGTTTTACTTAGTGTTAGTTATAATTATGAGCAGTTTTCAAATCTTTCCAGTTTTTTATAGCTGTCTTTCTGTTCTTATCTGTGTATGCTTCTCTAGACTAATAAGCTAATCCATGATTACATACTGGACTTCTATGTAGGAGATGTGACCATGACTGCTTCTATCCATTAGTATAAAACAGACATGGGCAAAGTTTTCAGAAAAAAAACCATGT